AAAGAAAGAAAGAAAGAAAGAAAGAAAGAAAGAAAGAAAGAAAGAAAGAAAGAAAGAAAGAAAGAAAGAAAGAGGAAGGCTCTCTCTCGCGCGCGCGCGCGCACACACACACACACACACACGGGCTCGCATGCCCCAGCTCCGGGGAGCCGCAGCACTTTCTATCCCCTCTCTGTCCGGAGAAGCCCCCACCCATCCTACCTACCTACCCGCCCCCCCAGCCCTTGCCGCATAGCTCAAGATGGATCCCGCCTCAGAAGCCAGCCTCAGCAGACCCTGCCTCCCTCCCTCCCTCGCTCGCTCGCTCCCTCCCTCCCTCTCTCTTTCTCTCCTCAAGTCCAGCGGGGCCCCGCAGCAAGTGCACTTACTTGGATCCAGCTGGGGTTTGTCTCCGTTTGCCTCGCTTTCGCCATTGTTTTCCGAGAACGCCCCGTCGTTGGCTGGCTTATCCCTATCAGCTGGAGGAGAACCACAAGCATAGTCAGTCAGAGAGAGTGCGTGCGTGTCAAAGGTGGTACAGTCACCCCTCCTGGCCGTGAGCGGTTCAGGTTTAATGCCGTAATGCCTGCTGGCCGGCAAGCCGGGGAAAGACAAGGAGGCCGGCATCGGCTCCAGCCACGAACGCATGTACCTGCCGTCGGGTGGCTGGTGATGCACGTACGGGTGGTACACGGCCGGCACATTGTTGGCGCTCGGCGGGTGCACGGCGTTCCAGGAAGGGGCGAAGACGGACGCTTTCGACTGGAAGCTGCAGGGGGTGAACTCGGGGTGCTCGCCGAGGGTCGCCTGCCTGGCCGGCTGGCCCAGGGGGGCCGAGGCGTAGCGCGACTGCACCAGCTCCTCGGTCTCGTGGAGGAGGAACGAGTCCACGTAGTAGTTGCTGAGCGTCCCCGACGAAGACATCGCCACCCCAGCCGAGCCAAAGGAGAGGCGAGCCCTGGCGAAATTATGAAACTGCAGATTTCATGTAACAACTTGGTCCTTGCGAAGTAGTACAGTCACCTAATAAGTTGAAGGCTGCCTGTCAGCCCATTGGCTGCCGGGTGTCACGTGTCCGGGCAGCAGAACAATAAAGAATAAATCAGTCCGCAGGCTATTAATGGGTCAGTGTTTTCCAGTCATCATTTTTATAGCAAAGCCATATGCTCTTTTTTTTTAATGCAAAGGAATAAGCAAGTTGTACGGCAAAGTTTGTTTTAATTGTGGCCAAATGAGATAAAAAGATCAGACTATTTTTTGAGGAGGTCTATTATGATCACTCTTTTTAAGTGGACTATTTTATATCATAATTAATCATTCCATCAATGGTTCTTGTTCCTTGGGAAAAGAGAAAGAGAGCGAGAGAAAGAGGGCACCGCGCAGACATGCTGCTCTCCTTGTGATCGGAGACCTTCACATAAAATTATACAATCGTTTAAGCCATAAAGCAAGAAAATAACATTGGCGGCAATCTGTATTTAAATACATATTTATTATATTTCATAAGGAGTTATTGTTCCGGGAGCCGCGGGCTGTTATTAAGTCAGTAACTACGGGCATATTCATTTGCGTTGCTCTGTTTCACAGCCGTAAAAATTTACGAGTGCCTGGAAAGGTTAAATTATACTATTGTGTTTAGTTTGGAAACTCACTGTAAATAATAGCGCGCCGCAGAGTTCAGAGCTAACTGGGGCTGGCAGGAAAAAAGTCAAATCCAACCCCGGGCTCCTTTCGAAAGACGCTCCGCTCCCAACTTTCGGGCGCCCCAGCAGCGGAGGCAAGGCGCGGGAGCGATTTCCAGCCCCCAGCGAGACCTGCCTCTTTGGAGGCGCCTCGGACGCGGATCTTCCCCGAGTCACAAGACGGGCTGAGTCGCCGGAGCTCCCAACAGATTCGCTAGGAAACTGGGGGTTTGCCTGCGCCCCCACCCCCATTAGAAGATAACTTTTTCAACCGGGGGTCAATCGATCCCTTTATCTTCTGTCACGAAGGTTAGGTAACTTGCAGGTGTGTGGGAGGTAATGCACGCTCGCTCGTTCTCCCTCTCACTCACACACACACACACACACGCACGGACACACGCATTTGTAGCTGGCTCTTTATTTCTATGGCACTTCCGCAATCTTATCCGTGACATCTCCCTGTGTTTGAGGGTGGTGGAGGAAGAGAGATATGCTTCGGGCTTCGGGCTCCGGCACGTGGACCAGCCAGCAAAGGACGCGTTTTTAAACAAGAACAAGGAAGGGGGAAAAAGAGGGCGAGAGGGGGAGAGAGAGCGAGAGAGCGCGCGTAAACTGAAGGGAAGACCCGGACTTTTTTTACGGAGGAAATAAAGACCCCCACCCTCGATCAAGTTGACTGCAAGGAGAATCCACGCCCCGAGGTTTGTAAGCCTCTTCCTGAAGTGTAACGACACCTTCTCCTTAGGACGGCGCAAGCACGGAAAGGTTATGTGGGACGGGTGTATTGTGCGCTTGGTAGATATAGATATAGATACACACACACACACACACACACACACCATACGTGTGTATGCGCGCGGGGGGTATCGCAGGCATATCGATCGCCTGGGATGTCTGTGGCATATATATTTATATAATATCTGTATCTCTGCATCTATGGTTCATTCCTAAGGATGAATGGAAGCCATAAGAAACAGAACCCGCCTTTCTCGCCTGGTTGAAGCATTTCCCTGTTGGGCTTTTTAACCAGGATCTCAATCCCAAGCAACTGGGTTTGGGGTATAAGTAGTTCTTTCTTTCCGGATATGCTCTGCGGCTTCTGAGCAGAACCTGGCACATCGGAACTGAGCGGAGGGTTACATCCCCCCGGGAAACGAAAAAGGTGATTCGGTCCTCAGATCAAGTCCAGTGTTGTGAATTAAAGTAAGGGCTAAATGCGGGGTGTCTGTGACATTTGAATCCATTATCTTCTCGAAGGATTCCTACACTTTCCTCCCTGGTTTTTTTTTTTTTTTTGGCGTGGGGAACCTGACTCAACAGTGGAAGGAAAGAAAAAGAAGATCTCTACAACCCCTCTATTTAAAAAAAATGCTTTAGGGGGAAAAAGACTTATTCAGAGTAGTAGGGGGAATCGCGTGCTAATTAAACTCATGTCTGAATATTCAGCACGCAAAAGGTATGTTTCTTATTTGTTTTACATCACCTCAGTATTCTTTGCTCTTTTTTCGGTCCCCTCCAATGGCTAAAAGTTGGGGGGGAAAACCCTAAAATTAGCAGTTAGCCATATATTTTTTGACCTGATATCTAGAAATTACAAGAAATAATTAATGTGTTACATATATGAAGAGGAAAAGTTTCAAGGGGGTATTATTGATCATCTTACCCCCACCCAAAGTTATTTTAAAATCAGACAAAGGTTTTTCTATAGTAAAATAGTTGAACTCTATGGCTGTCTTAGTGAGAGACAGGGTATAGGCCACGAAGGAATGAATGAATATGTGTGTGTGTAAGTGTATATGTATGTGCAAGTGTATGTGTGTGTATTCTCTGTCTTCTATACATACATGTAATATATTTGTATAAATGTGGATGTCTCTCTGTGTGTATGTATGCACATGGATGCCTTATGTAATATTTGTTTGAAATCTAGAGTCTGTTGTGAAATATGTGTAGAGAACTTCCTTCCTCCTAGAAGAAAAAAAAAATCTTAACAACAGGGTTCTTCAATGTTTATATTCTATACTGTATTGCATTTCAGAAGCTACAGTTATTTTTTTCTCATTAACCTCTTTAAATGAGAACTAGAAGAATTAAGTTCTATTTATAATAAAAGAATAAAGTCTACATAAATTCTTTAAATGGGTGGCTGTGGAACAACTGCAATTAAGAAATGTAGATATAGGGGATATATTTCAATTTGAAATTATAGAAATGGATAATGTATAGCAAGGGATAAGCAGACACTTCCAAGGTTCTTCGTATTCTTCTCTATGACGAGATTTTATTTCAATAACATCTATATTTTTGTAACTATGCTTTGTAACCAATCTGGACAATTTTACTATAATAACAATATGAAAAAGGATTAAACTGGTTGGTTTGATTGTACTTATAATTCTATTATCCTTTAAGTAAGTATTAAGTTACTTAATGTGGTGCCGGGCCGCATAAGGCAGCTAACAGACTTTCTTTACCTTGAACAAAAATATTTGGGATTTATTTCCAAGGAAGTGTATTTGGACATGCAGTCATTAAACATAATCCACTCATGTACAGTATAGGGATTCCTAGAGAGAGTTTTGGGATATTTATTTCCTAATTCTAAAATACTAGTTCTCAGCCATTTTTTTTCGTAATCTAGTACCCAATCCTATGCATATCTACTTCAAAGTAAGCCCCACTGATTTCAATGGGCTCTACCTCAGCAAGTGTGCACAGATTTCCTATTTAATATCCATGGAGTAGCACTGGGCCATTTAAAATATCTGTTCATTTTTAAAGATAAAATATTTGAACCTGCCTCTCAGACACAGCAAACGAAAGTAAGTTTTCATCTGGCCATTTGAGTTACTGAGATCTGTTTTCTTTTTTGCTTTTCTTCCCCATAGAGTCTGCCAGTTGATAAGATGTTTCATAAACTTATTGCTTCCAAACAGAGGTTGGATGCCTTTATATTTAGGCTCCCGCCCCTGTGCCTGTCCACAGACAGGGAGACCAGACTCTCTCTCTCCAGCACCCACCCAAAAGCATTTGGGGTTTAGAGAAGGATTTTGTAGAAGGCCCTCAACTGCACACCGTTCTATGGAGTTCAGAAGTTTTGCTTTGAGACTTTGGAGGCCATGGCAAATAAATAAGAGCTTATCAAACAATAGGGAAGAAATATAGGACATAGACACCCAAAAATAGCCCTTGAATGTGGTTATGGGGAGCCATATCCTGTTTATATATTTCATTAAAAAGTATGATTCCTAGTCCAAAGTCTATGTGCATTCACACCGACACATGTTTATATGCTTGCACGTTTATGTATGTATATGTGTATATGGGGGGGGGTGTAGGTATGTATCTATCTATATGCTTCATAACCAATCTGCAAAATACAGTGTGTGTGTGTTTGTGTGTGTGTGTGTGTGTGTGTGTTTATACATATGCATGTATTATAGGCAAGCAAAACTTTGCCTGCATAACTTGTGAGCCTCTCATTAAAATTGTTAAAACAGGGCAGAAGCCCCGGCTTTCAAACAAGATAGGGGAAAACAAAATTAAGCAAAAATCGCATTTCCACCTCCAGGCCTCCTTTAATTGAAGTCTGAGATCTGAAAGGTATTTTTTAATTAAAAGTGGGATGAGACAAAACAGAGACCAAAAAACGTCCCATTCCTGCAAACCCCACGACTGCCCACCCGCTCGCTCGCTCCCCCGCAGCCCCTGATACCCGAGGGAGCGGTCTTGTTCATTTACACTAGCGGTAAACAACGTGTGTACGGGATGTAAACAAGACGCCGCAGCGCCTTCCTTCCCTCTCGCAGGCTGCCGGACATAAAAGGGAAGGCGACGGGCCGGCACGCCGCCTCAGCCCGAGCGAGGTCGCTGTTGCTTATGCCGCCTCACTGGAATGCAGGCGCCCGGACCCATTCCAATAATGATCGTAACCGAGGCCTTGCCAGCCCTCGAGAAATCGCTGCGTTCTCACCTCCGTGGCCCTCTCTCTTCCTTCCACCTTGCCGAGACCGGGTGTGTGAGCGCGCGACTGGATGCCTCCTTCCCCTGCCCGCTTCAGAGAACGAGGAACCGAACTGGGGAGGGAGTGGGAGAAAGAGAGAGTCCCACGCAAAGGGGGGGGGGGGGGGGGGTGGGGGGGGGGTCTGAAGACCCGCGCTGGAAGTCAGGAAGAGCCAGGGAGGCGTCAAAGTGCGCGCGCGCCCCCGCGAGCAACTCTTAATGCAATATAGCTTAAAAACAGACGGCGAGAGAAAAATCGTCGCCAAGAAGCTGGGCTGAAAATAGCTCCTTCCTTCCTTCCTTCTTCCTTCCTTCCTTCCTTCCTTCCTTCCTTCCTCTCTCCCTCCCTCCCTCCCGTAAATAAGAGCGAATTGAAATCGGTAGAGCTACGGAAAAGAAAGGCGGTAATAGTGTCCCATTTACAGCAGAGCCTGCAACCAGGGCCAGCAGTACTCTGCAAGGACAAGCAATCCAGTGGATTCCTCGAACAGGAAAAGCAATGATAATTCTTTAATGCCCCTGACCTTGAAAGGAATCTCGGGGTTGGGGGAAGGATCCCCCTTTAAATAGAAATAAAAATTCGAAGCCAGCGGATCCTGCCCAGCCCTGAAGGTCTCATCCATGCGGTTTTGTTTTTTCTTTTTTTGTAATGCCCCCCTCCTCCACCTTGGCTGATTGGAAGCAGCATTTCGGCGCGCAGAAAGAAACAATGGCGTTGGGACTTGACGCCTCCAGGAGACAGTGTGTGTGGGGGGGTCTCCCCCCCCCCCGGATTCCTTCGGTAGTTAAAGGCAATGTTTTTATCCTCCTTAGGCGTCTGCTTGGGATTAGACCCATCTGATGATTATAAACTGAAGTGATGAAGGCAGTTTCGTGCTGCAGAGAGAGAAATGTTCAGCCTCAACAACGAGAAACTACCTAAATCACCGACCAGTTCTCAGCTTTCTAATTAACAGGGTTCCCCGTGGCCGCTTTCCCTTAAGCAAAAGAGCCCCGGTAGGGGGGAAAAATTAAAAAGAAAGAAAGAAGGGGGGGACCCCAGCCTAGTACATAAATAAATACAAGTCAGTAACGAGAGCCCAGCCCTTCCTTATGTCCCCCTCCCCTTCTCCCACCATCATTCCGCCATCTCCACTTACCAAACTTCTTTGTTATATATATCATGGAGTCTGATGGGTCTTTTTTAATCGTTTCAGCAGAAACGTTTTTGCACAAGCAAAATCCTTTAGAACTTAAAAGAGGTGCATGATGAGAAGGAGTAAAGGAAGAGTGGGGAGACAGGCTGAGAGTGATTAAAAAGTCTTCCGTAAATGGTCAATTAAAAAAAAAAAGATTATTGGATCTAAAG